TGAGGTCGGTTCCCGACTTGCCCTGGAACAACTGCACGACGGCGTCGTCCATGAAACTTGTGAGGGAGGAATCGTCGGGAACGGACTCGCCCGCCTTGGCTTGCATCTTGAGACCACCGTTCATGTACTGGGTGAGGTCGTACACGCGGCCGCCCATGTAGGCAATGTTCTGCTGCTTGTTGGCGAGCGTCTTGATATACTGGGGCGAGTAGCCGACGGTGCCCTTCTTGTAGTTGGACTTGAGCATAATCATCTGCTCATAGTACCAATCGGGACGGCTGTCATTGGTGAAGTAACGGAAGTCGTGGTACTTGAAGTTGAGGTCGGTCGACGTGAGCTGCGCGGACCCCGTGAGATTGGTGTTGCGGTAGTCCAGAGTGACGTGAGGGTCGACAGAGCCGTCCTTGCCCTGGCACAGAGCGTTGACCTGGACGGGGAACAGAGTGCTGATATCCTTGCCAGCGTAGTTCTTGAGCTGCTTGTTGGTGACGTACGGCGGGTAGTGGCGAGGAGCGTAGGCACCCAGGTCAATGACCACGCCGCGGATGGCGACGTAGGCCGAGTTGTCGTCCTGGCCGTCGTTGGAGGAGAGTTCCTCGGCACTGTAGACGTGTTGGGTGGGGCAGATGAGCTTGGGGAATACGACGATGAAGAAGGCGGCAAAGAGACAGAAGAGCCAGATGAGCAGGTTGATGGCGAACTTTTCTCTCCACGCCACGCGAATGTCCTTGCGGGGCATGCGGCCCATCTTGCGGATGGCAATGTCCGGCACGAACCAGGTCATGAGGTAGACCATGAATACCCACCGCTTACGGCTGGCGCTGTCCTTGAACTCTTCAACCTCCTCGAGGTTCTTCTCGTTGCCGCGCTCGGCCATCTGCTCGCGCGTGTCGAGGTTCTTGAACATGTCACCGCCGCCAAACGCGGATACGCCAGCTTCCGAACGGGCATCGGAGCCGTCCTGGCCGCCAAAGTAGCCGTTCTTGCCCTTCTCGCCGTACAGCAGAGGCGTGCCTCCGGCAGAGAGTAGGCGCTCCTTGGAGGCGGCAAAGGGGGTGTCTTGGGGAGTCAGGCCGTCGCCGTTGTCGGATGGTAGGGCATAGCGGCCAGTGGCCGAGGCGCCATCCGACAGCTGGGCGACCTCCATCCAGCATCGCTCACTGAGGAAGACACCGGTCGATCCGATGCGGACCTCATTGGCGGGCCAGTGCCTGTCTTCGACGACGAGCTCGACACGCTCCCTCTCGGTGCCGACGAGGATGGTGTCCGAGTCGGCAAGGCCGAGGAACTCACCAAAGGGGAGGAACAAACTAAAGTCTGCCGAACGCAGGCGCTGGCTGATCTCGGCAATACCAAACGTCTGCACCTGGGTGCGGACGCATTTGCTGTCAAATTGGTTGGCAATGCGTCGGTCGTTGGGCTTCAGGCAGAAGACAAAGTACGAGTTGCTGCTAGGGTCGGCAACAGACTTGGTGACGTTGTCCAAGGACGCGAGGAATTGGCCAGAGGCGCCCTGCTCCGAGGCCTGCAGCTTGTTGCCGCCCGACTGCGAGTTGCCCTCGCTGAGTCTGTCTAGCTCGTCCTGGGCGGCCTCGTCCTGCTGCTGCTGGTACTGCTGGATGCGGCGCTGGTTGCGAGCGGTCCTGGTGGTCTTGCGGGACATGACACTGGGCGCTCTCGTAGGCTTGGAGCTGATGGTGGCCTGCATGACCGTCGACCTCTCCTTGGGGTGGGTGACGGTCTTGAGGGCCTCCTGGCCAAAGAGGCGGGCGACGAACTCGCTCTTGGTGGAGTTGATCATGTTGAGCAGATCACCGGAGATGACCTCGCCGTTCTCTTCGATGATGTCCTTGACGGGGTAGTCGACCTCGCCGGCAAAGTGCTTGACGGTGAAGAGGGCATTCGTGTTCTCGGTGTAAAAGTTGCTGCCGGGCAGTCTGGTGTTGGCGGAGCCGGGGGTGATGGCCGGGTTCTTGCCCTCGAAGCGCTTGCGCAGACTCTCGAGGAACTGCACGTCGGTGCGGTTCCTGCGCGTCTGGTCGTCGAGGATGCTGAGCAAGCCGTTTCCAGGCTTGAGCAGACCCCTGACGGCGTCCGAGTTGTCAAAGTAGCTCGTGGCCGCGACGCTGACCTCCTCGTTCTCCAGCATGTCTGCCTTGCGGTCGAAGAAGTTTTGCAGGGTGAGGTTGTAGAGGGCCTCGCAGGCGGCGTTGTTGAGCAGCTGGTCGAGCGCCGAGTGAGTGGACGCTTGCTGGGCGAAGCCGGGGAAGTCGATAATGGAAATGGTGTTGGCAACGCTGTCCTCGGGCGCGCAGAGTCTCTGGTTGATGGACTCAACAATGTAGGCCACCAAGAGCGAGTACAAAGTGCGGGCGAGCTCGTTGGCGTGCGAGCGGGCGCCGGCGGGGTCCAGCATGACGGTGACTCTCTCCTTGTGGATCATCTTGGTCTTGTACGAGAGGGTGGTCTGCAGGTCCTGGGAGCTGACGCCCAAGAAGGCGGCGACAATGGTGAGGACATCCTTGTTCTTGACGGCAGTGACGGTCTGGGCACCCTCGTGGGAGAAACCGCCGCTGTCGTCTCCTTGGGCTTGCGTGTCGGACGTCGTCTCGAACTCGAGCTGGCCAATGTGCAGAATCGTGGCCAGAACCTGGCAGATCTCGGCAATCTCGCTGCGAGGGAACTCGAGCTTCTTGAGGGCGTTCTTGAAAACCTGGAACCCTTCGGTGTCGTTGATACCGACCTTGAGCTGGGTGGGGTGACCCAGGTACTTCCACCTCTTTTGAGCAACGCCGGCCGGCGTCTCGAAGCCAAGATGGGCCTTCTCGGCCGCGCTGGTGCCGGCCATCAGGTAGTACAAAACATGAAAGTTACGCTCTCCCGTCGGGATATCCGTGATACGGCTACGCTCGAGTCTGTGGTCGAGAAGCTTGGCACCAATCAGGACCGGGTTGGTCGTGGTAGCCGTGTCATACTGCAGCTCGTAGAACAAACCGGCCTTGGAGGCTGTGGGAGTAGTGGCGGTCTTGGTCGTCGTCAAGGTATCAAAGACGTAGGCGGCCAGAGAGACCTTGGTCGACAGAGGGGTGGAGGACTTGCCGAGGAACGCAGTCAGGAGGTGGGATCGAATGGTTGATTTTCCGGAGCCGGATTCACCCCTATTCACGTTAGCCATGACCTTTGATATTGTCAGAATGTCACATACAAAAAGACGACGGATTGGTTCTCCGATCTGTGACCCAATCTGATCCATGCCCGGTCCGCAATGTCCTCGGCGCCGCCCATGGCGCTTCCCTCCTTGCCGCCATCAGGGCCCTTTGAGGAGGACGTGTAGGTGTTGAGAGAAATGAGGGCGTGAGACGAGAGGCGAGCGGTCGGCAGCGACACATGGAAACGACTGGCCAAGTGTGCCGTTAACTGCGTGTCTGATTGTGAATGTGCGGGTAGCGAGGGTAGAGAAGGTTGAGTGTGAGCGCCTCCGCCGCTCCCACCGATAGGAGGCAGGTTCATCGCCATGTTGGGCACGACGACGCCAACGTCGATGGACTCGAGATACGCGTAGTGTAGTCAATGGCGGGGCTTTTCGAACGAGAGACTTTGGTCAAAGGGGGTTCGATGTTCGTCGTGTAGAAGAGTCTTGAGATGTTGATTAACGGTCAAAGAGCTCAGATTAGTCGTGATAGTAGTAGGTAAACAGGGAGATTGGCCGAAACCCAAACGAAAGGAGATGTACAAATTGCCAGACTAGGAAACGAGTGTGCACGGAGAAGTGAGGAAGAGGAATCGAGGATTCGGAAACAGCAGCGACTTGGGATGGCGAGGCTGAAGGTGGGAAAAGCTCGAGGCACAAAACGAACGAAGTAGTCGCTGGTAAAGTGCTGGCAAAGGTCAAGGACGTCCCGATTTTTCGTGGTCTCTCGCCGTCGACGGTCTCCCTCACTCTCTCTTCTCTACACAGTACACAGTACGCAGTATGGTAAGGGAGCGTAACCGGGGGGAGGGGTGTGGGCAACGGCAACGGGCACCAGGAAAGGGGATTGTTTTCTTTGGGTACCAAAAGTGCTGCTCTCACGCGAAGAGTGGTCCGGCGGGCGACATGAACACGAGACGCACGACTCGTCCATACGAACTCTGTGCCACAGCACCACCCACACACTGTGGGCTGTTGAGAAGCCCGAAGAGTCGACATCAGCTGCCTGAAGCATTGCCTCCCGTCTGTACGGACAGCTGTGGCCTCGAGGGGTGTCGCCGGCGAAGACGAAATTGACAGACCCCTCCCCCCTGCTCGAATTTCTTCTCGATTTTTCCCCCTTCCTTTTTTCCCTGATCTCGGTTCTCATCGCGGAAGCCACATTACACTGTATCCCCCTGTACCCGTCATTTCCTCCGCGGGACTTCTATATTCCTTGCGTTCCCCTGTATTTTCAGCGGTCCTGTGCGGGGTCTCTTGAGCTTGTTCGACATGGAGCACGTTCTGTGCAATGATGCTTGTTGTGTTGCGCGAGGGCGACGATACTCGGTATGACACCAGGCTGCAAACGTGTCTATATACTGCGCAGTCAGATCATTAGGAGATGAGAATTCAGGAGACCGATCATCATCAGGGTAATAACCGCGCTCAAAGGGTTGGTCCAAAGGCTGCAAGTGGTCTCCGCATATTCCCATAAACCTTGAAGACGCGACTTGGCAGCCTGGCTGTGACAACATTGAGCGGGCTTCGCTGCCAGGGGCGAGTGCCAGTGGTTCTGCTGAGAATGCAGAGCTGGCACTGGCCAGGGTCCGTCCAGCATGAAGAATGCACGCGTCTCGCATCACGATGTGTATTTCGCTTCTCTCCTAGTTCCGAGTTGATGCCAAGAGCATAATAACAGCCCTCTACTTCATCCCCAACGGGTAGCATTGAATCGTAGAAGCAGACGCGAAAAGTGTGGTCGAAACAACAGATCAAGGTCCGCTCTGCCGGAAGTCTGTTCAACAATCCCTAAACCTTGTGGTGGCTGTTAGCGGACGGATTGGTGCGGTGGCGCCCCAACATTGTGCTTCTCCGCGAATACCGGTGCCTTGGGCAGCCATCTTGAACAGTACACAGCTGCTGTCCTACGGATCCGTTGATGGGGGACCTGCTGGCACCGGGGCGCCATGAGGGATCGTCTCACACTCGACGGCGCCATGTTATTCACTGCCACTTGGACGTTGGCGCTGGCCGACGGTTTCCAGCGCGCCGCTAGACTCTCGTCCTCCCGATGGGCGTAGCAAACGGAGGGCGCGGACTGGGTGCTGTATCCATGCCAGCCGATGGGAGCGCTGATATAACACAAAAAGGACAAGCAGACCAAAGACGCTGAGGCCGTTGCGTTCCAGCGGCCAGTGCCTGAAGATCGGCTTCCCTTCAGATCCTGTGATGGCTCAAGGGAGAGCCAACGGGTCGACTCCGCCCGGGCGAGATTGGTTGATCGGACCGGTGCGTGGAGAGAAATGTTGTCATCAATGATGCTGTTGACCCGGCGTCTCGAGGAATGCAGCGTGTAATTGCGTCTCATCCCTATTCTGGGACAATGTGGTTCGGGTCTCGCAGAATTCTTTGTTTACACGGCTGTGGCTGAGGGACCATCGACAGCACTTTAGAATGTAGTGCAAGCCGTTTGAGTTTGGATATCGAGCATGATGCATGATTGATGAGCAGGATTTTGCGGTTCATCCATGATGTTAGGATGGCAGGCGGCAGACGGTCCAAGCCGCGCATGTGCCTGTGGTCCGGGGCGGCAGACGTGGAGGAGGCGGGCTGATTACCTCGAATTGTCGACGTCTCAATTAGAGAAGAGAATTGTGGACGGGAGGTACTTCCGAGAGGTACATGTACGTACAGTGCGAAAGGTGCGGATCAATTGTGCCGCTGCGTTCCCCGGGGTGTCGGTGCTTACGGATCCGAGGGAACGTACCTGCTCATCGACGACCTCATCATCCTGTTGCAACTCACAACTTACCGACAATTGTAGTCTCAACACTCCCGGAGGCTGGACATGCAGGGCGAGACACTCGATGAAGAACCAGTGAGCCGCCAGAGAAAATTCAGCAAGGAAAGAAAAGAAAAAGGGGGCACCGATGCAGATTGCAGAAGCATGGGGATCAATCCATTGGATCTGAAAGCAGCCGGCGAGTTCCCATCGGCCGCTAAAAGGTCCAAAAAAAGACCTGCAGCACATGATAATGGGGTTCATGGTTCCTTGCGGGCATAGCGTGTGTCCATAAATCAAGGTAAAGCAGAAAACCCTGTGTTTGGCGGGAACATAAAAATTGCACACTCACACGCTCCATAGAGGAAAAAACAACTATTCGGCGCTCGAGGGCACAGCCTCACGCCGAGACTCCATCATGCCAGTCATTCAAACCAACCACCAACCACTCCGCTCCATTCAGCCAAGCCAAATCCGACCCTCTCCTCTCCGCTGACCAATGGCTCAGTTTCCATGATCATGCTGTCAGCAACAGACACGAAGGTCGCGGGTCACACTCGAGTCTTGCTGCTCTCGCACCCGCCATCGCGGCTCCGCTCGAGGTGGCCCTGTCAGCGGCAATTGGCGATAACAACAAAGATGCTCTCACTGCTCAGTGCCTCAATACGAACAACACCAAAATGCACCGCCCTCCATCTATCCTCTGTGTACGAAGTAGATGCACAGCTCCATTAGTCTGCCGCGAGAGTTGCTGCACCCGCCACCACATTGCAGGCAAAATCGGACGCTTACGACGTTGTGCTCAAAGCTTATGCATGATCACAACACAATTCCATCACGGTCGCCATGACCGAGTCAATAGATGCACCTGCGTGGATCCGATAGAGTATTGCCGGCACCAGCAACATCTCTCAGGGGAGCACAATACTACTACACAGCAGGCTCTACGCTGCAGCACGCCGTGATGCCATTGCTAGCATCAATTTTTGGATGAAATCCTGCTTGGCCTTGCAGACGCTTGGAAAACACCCGCTCTCGCGTCGGCATGCACTTCCTCTCTCAGCAGTGAGCAACAGTGGCATCTTATGCACCAAATGGCAAACGGTGCGATCGGATGGGTGGGCCGACTCTCGTCTCCATGGGCTCGTATTTGTTCCATGAAAAGGACTGCCCGCGGCCAGATCTACAGTTATTGCCAGGCTAGCCGGGGCTTTCGTTGGCCACCACAGGATGCGCGACTGACGACTGTGGACTCGTGGAGACGGGCTCTTGGGGGCCTTTCTAGCTGGATCCTGATCACCGGGGGTGGTTGGCACTTGGATCCACGTCGTTTTCCTTTGGGTTCGAATCTGGTTTTGGCCGTGTTGCACCTCTGTCTCTGTTCAAGTATCGATGGAGCCAAGCCTCATCCTGGTGTTCCATGCTGACGAGCTTCCTAGATCTCACTTGAGCATCAGCCATCAGGCCAGCTCCAGCCTCATAGTCAGCGTCCGTCGTGAAGCAGTCCTCGAGGAGCTGAAGCGTGCATAGGAACGATATTCTTACAGTGCGAAGCAGCCCTGAGCCTCCAGCCGAACGGTCTGCTCCAGGTATTCCACCGTGGTGCAAGGTACATGCGGTCGGGCTAAGTTTAGGGACCCGAGCTTGACGGCAACGTCGCCAGGGTTCCCCTTCTGATGGCAAAAATTTGGCCGGGGGCCTCTGGACTGAGACTATGCGTCTTTGGTCCGTCTCGCCCGCCCCAGTTCAGGGGTCAACACAAGGAAGCCCAGAGGAAAGGACAAGAGAGGGAGGAACAATGCACACACACGTTCGAATCCATACTGTATTTTTGGACCTGGCCATGGAAGCTACAGAGGCTGGTGGTGTGTTGATGATCCCTCGACCCAGGTATCTATTCCTACTGTGTTCGTGAGACCGGTACTTCGGGCAGTACGAAAAGAAGCATCTTCTATCCATCATTACGAGACCCACGCTCCAGGTCTTCCGCCTTGTCTGAGCTGTGTGTCTGCCGTCTGTGCCTGTTAGCTACGTTACCTATTAGCGGACGCTCGTTTGCCAGACACTCCGGGACCTGTGTAGAGAGAAAATAGGTCATTCTCTGTCTCTGAGTGTCTCCCCCCCTTTCGCTCGCCACTTTCTTCTTACTCGACACTCGATTTTGAAAGTGTCCGAGAGACTATTCAGCCCTTCTTCCTCTCAAACCTCTTTCCTATACAGACGCCTCACTCGTTTTGGTGGTCTGCCTACTCTATCGCTAATTTGTTACACATCCTCTTCCTTTTAATTTTGCCTTTGCTTGTTGATCGCCATATTTGCGTTTTGCAAGAGAGGAGAAAGAAAGGGAGAGAATCCAGCTGCAGCCTCATCACACACACCACCAACCCGCGTTGCTCAGTCGACAAATCGTGCAGGAAATACGCCTCTTTTTGCTACCTACAACCTTAATCATCACACCCTTCTAGACACTCGCTTCACTGAACGACTTTCTCGACTTCCTTCTCAATTCTTACCCATTGACGACAGTCCTCATCGTCTTGTTTACCTCGAGCTAGACGACATCACCGACTTCGAATAGCGTCTCGTCCGTCGACGTGTTTGTCCGCGCCGGACATCACGAACCCAATCCCATCACCATGGCGAGCGGACGCATGTCCATGTACTCGGTGGCCTCCGAGGGCATGGGAGGTCCTCGTGCCGGCCAACAACCCTCGCAGTTTTCCACCACGACCCTCCTCAACGCCATTCACAATATTTACCTGTCATCCCAACCCTTCAAGTTGGACGCTGGCTCCAGCCTTGTCGTAAACACATGGCTCACCGCAGCACAGGCCGGACCGGACGGAAGAACAGGAGGCACCATAGATCCTGCCCTCGGTGCCAGAGCATGGGAACATGCTCGCCGCCGTGCTGAGGATGGCTGTATCATTCTTGGGTAGGCTTCAAACCCCAATCAACAGACAACAATTGCTAATGCTGCTTAGTTCCCTTCACACATCGAGCCCCTCGGTCCTCACGCCTTTCCTCTCATCTCTGCCACTCAACATCCCGTCATCCGTCTACAGGTCACTCGAGGCCATCCAGCCTTTCTTGAGATGCTCCACCCCCTACAACCCCTCCGCTTCCAGACAGGCTGCCCTCGGCGTCACCTTGACGCTCAACTTGACCGGTAACTTCCAGGGAGCCGCCATCGCCCTGTCTCAGGGCGGCATCGATACCGCAAAGGGCCTGCTCAACATCCCCTCTGAACCGGGGTACCGCGCCTTTGACGTCTTTTACTACCTATTGACGTCGGTCTCTACGCCCGCCGAGAGGGAGTTCTTGGGCCTCAAGCCCGCCTCCAGCTATGCCCTGCTTGCGAGATCCGGCACATACGACCCGCCCTCGTACCTCCCCACGGCTGACGATGCCGCTGCTGCCGATGACTTTAGGACCGCCCTCAAGGACATTGGCATCAAGGGTTCTGCGTACCGCAACCTCATCTCTACCCTCGCTGGCCTGCTCAAGCTCGGCGACACGCTCGACTACAACCTGGACGAGGACGTGTTTGACGAAATCTGCGAGGATGTGAGCGGCCTGCTGGGCATGGATCCCGAGACCCTTGCCACGCAGTGTACAACGCAGGACCGGTCAACGCTGGTTGGCGGTCTGTACGAGGCGTTGGTCGACTGGGTCATCTCCAAGGCCAACCAGGCGATCTCCGCGCAGATGGCACGTATCAGAGACGGTACCGAGTCCATCGCAGGTGGTGCCCGCACGCCCACATCCAACGGCGACGGCGACACCGTCTGCATCACCATCTTGGATGTCCCCGACCCAACCCTGGGCAAAGCCTTGACCATGCGTGGCATCTTTGACGACACCGTGGGCATCAACTCGGAGATGATTGCTGACGGCATCGAGGCGTCTCCCGCCGGCAGCACCGTCGTGCGTGAGATGCAGACGGCCATTGCGGAAGTTGGCCACGAGCTTGGCATCATGTCTGGCGCCGCCGGCAAGGACCGCCAGCACGCGCTCGAGAAGCGTGAAGAGGTTCTCGAGAAGATTGGACACTCTGCCGATGACGACGCGTTCCTCAAGAAGCTGCTCTTCCCGGTCTCCGGCCAGGGCATCAACCTCGGAGTTGCCGGACGTCTCGAGCTCGCAACGCTTCTCAGCTCCAGCCGCGTGTGGTACCACCTCTCGATCCACCCCACCGACGACTCTCCCGCCAGCTTGGCTGCTTTGCCTTCCGTCAACTCAGCCTGGTCAGCTGGCACTGTCTCCCGCCAGCTCCGTTCCTGGAGGCTGCCCGAGTGGGCCAACAGGCGAAACAAGAACCTGGATTTCACCGCTGATTTCGACATTGACGAGTTTGTCCAGCGATACGCTGCGTTGGGCTGCCAAGACGGCCGCGAGGGCATCGAGACGTGGATCCTCGAGCGCGGATGGACCAACGGCGAGGTCATTGTCGGTAAGGAGCGTGTGTGGACACGTGAGAGCGCTTGGTGGGAGGCGGAGAGCATGCTCGACATGAAGCCCCTCGATAACAACCTCCCCGGCATGGGCAATGTCCTGGCCGTGAACAACCTCGAATCAGGCTACTCGGCAAACGGCAGCGGCTACTTCCCAACGCCCATGCTGGACACGACACCCAACGGAAGCCGTGATCACCTCATTGCCCACCAGCGCAATGCCAGCCAGGGCAACCTCTCCCAACACACCCTCGCTCACAATGCCGCGATGCGTGCTCCTTCCGTAGCTCCTTCGGGCATGCGTCCCGCGCAGAACGGAGACTATGGTCTCGGCACCAAGGGTGACACCTACAAGGGCCAAGTCTTTTACAACAACGAGGGCGAGTTTGTCGGCCAGATGGACCCCGAAATTGCTGACGGCAAGCACGTCGAGGAGAAGACCATGGACAAGGACCGCCGTCTCTGGGTTGCCATTGTGTGGTTCTGGACCTTTTGGATCCCCTCGCCCGCGCTGCGCCTCATCGGCCGCATGAAGCGTCCCGACGTGCGCATGGCCTGGCGTGAAAAGTTCACCTTGGTCTGGTTCATCGTGCTCATCAACGCTGCTATTGTTTTCTGGATTATCGGGTTCGGCAAGCTCCTGTGTCCCAACTTTGATAAGGCCTGGGATAGCACGGAAGTCGGCACGCACCAGGGCGAGACGGATTTCTACGTTAGCTTCCGCGGTGGCGTGTACGATGTCTCCAAGTTCTGGAAGACGCAGCACTCCGATACCAACATTGAGACGACCAAGGCCAACATGATTCAATTCGCCGGATTGGACATGGACGACTACTTCCCGCCTCCCCTTACTCTGGTGTGCCCCGGTCTCGGAATCGCCTCGTCCACCGCACTCCAGGCCAACACCACCCCCGAGTACACCATTGGTATCCACAAGTCTGGCTCTCTGGCCGATGACCGTACGAGCGCGCTCGGCGACTCTGATTGGTACAGCAAGAAGCTGCTGCCGCGCATGAAGGAGTTTTACAAGGGCGATCTCGTCTGGGACAAGGGCGACGTCAAGTCGGACGGCCAAGACAACAGCCACATGTGGGTGATTTACAACGGCGGCGTCTACGACTTTACAAACTACTACCACACCCAAGACGTCTTCAAGCAGGTCGACACGTACAAGTTCCTTAACACCAAGATGATGAGCGCTGTCGAGAACAACCCGGGTGAAGACATTACCGACAACTGGAACACCATCATCAAGGCCGCCGCCAGCAACTCGACCGAGAACACCAGCGTCCAGAACAGTCTCAACTGCGCAAAGAATTTGTTCTATAAGGGTATTCCAGACTTCCGCTACTCCGCTAGGTGTCAGGTCAACAACTACATCATGTTGGCCATGACGATTATTCTCTGCGCCGTCATTCTCATCAAGTTCTTGGCTGCTCTGCAGTTCGGTTCCAAGCGTCGCCCCGCTCCTCAAGACAAGTTTGTTATTTGCCAAGTGCCGGCCTATACCGAAGGCGAAGACTCGCTGCGAAAGGCGCTTGACTCTTTAACGGCCCTTCAGTACGACAACAAGCGCAAGCTCATCTGCGTCATTTGCGACGGTGTCATTGTCGGTGAAGGCAACGATCGTCCTACCCCCAAGATTGTCCTGGATATCCTCGGCGTAGACCCCAAGGTTGACCCGCCCGCGCTGCCCTTCAAGTCTGTCGGCACGGGCAGCGAGCAACTCAACTACGGCAAGGTGTACTCTGGTCTGTACGAATTCGAAGGCAACGTCGTCCCCTACCTCGTCATTGTCAAGTGCGGCAAGGAATCCGAGCAGAGCAAGGCCAAGCCCGGTAACAGAGGCAAGCGTGACTCCCAGATTCTGCTGATGAGCTTCCTCAACCGCGTCCACCACCGTTCTCCCATGTCCCCGCTCGAGCTGGAAATGTTCCACCAGATCAACAACATCATCGGCGTGGACCCCGAGCTGTATGAATATCTCATGATGATTGACGCCGATACCTGTGTCCGGGAAGACTCGCTCAACAGACTGGTTTCCGCCTGTGCCAACGACGCTAAGATTGCCGGTATCTGCGGTGAGACTGGTCTGCAAAACGATGACAAGACCTGGTGGACCATGATTCAAGTCTACGAGTACTTCATCTCCCACAACCTAGCCAAGGCTTTCGAGTCTCTCTTCGGATCCGTCACATGTTTGCCTGGATGGTATGTACCCTCACTTCTCACTTGCAGGACCAAGCTAACCAGTCAGTTTCACAATGTACCGTCTGCGCACCGTCGACAAGGGCAAGCCGCTCATTATCTCGGACAACATCATCCGCGACTATGCCGTGTGTGACGTCGACACCCTCCACAAGAAGAACCTGCTGTCTCTTGGTGAGGATCGTTACCTGACGACGCTCATGACCAAGTACTTCCCGTCCATGAAGTTCAAGTTCATCCCCGACGCGTACTGCCAGACTGCCGCCCCCGAGTCGTGGAGCGTTCTGCTGTCCCAACGTCGTCGCTGGATCAACTCCACCATCCACAACCTGTTTGAACTGATGAAGCTCAAGGAGATGTGCGGTTTCTGCTGCTTCAGCATGCGCTTCATCGTCTTTATTGATCTCTTTGGTACCATTATCCTCCCGGCGACGACCTTCTACCTCGGCTACCTCATCTACCTCGTAGCCAGTAGGACCGGACAATTCCCCATGATTTCCATCATTATGCTCGCCGCGGTGTACGGTCTCCAAGCCCTCATCTTTATCCTGAAACGGCAGTGGCAGCACATCGGATGGATGATCATCTACATTCTCGCCTTCCCCATCTACAACTTTGCGCTCCCCATTTACTCCTTCTGGAACCAGGACAACTTCTCGTGGGGTAACACGCGTATCGTCATTGGAGAAAAGGGCATGAAGAAGCTCATCGCCGTGGACGACGAAGGCTTCGACCCCCGCAGCATCCCGCTCCAGCGCTGGGACGACTACGCCATGATGAACAACCTCCCCGGCCGCCGCGGCGGCTACATGGAGAAGGCCGACATGGGCTACGACGACCAGTACGAGATGGACGAGATCCGCTCCGTCTACTCGTCCGTCCGCCAGGGCTCCGTCCTCACGGGCATGAACCGCAACAACCACTACGTCCCGCCTCAGTCGCCCGCGCCCTTTGGCGGCATGGCCCGCGCCTCGGGCGCCACGAGCCCCTACCACCAGGACCAGCACATGGCCAACCGCCAGTCCATGGTCTCGCTCGGCGCCCACGACATCCACCGCGGCCAGACGCCCTACCAGGACTTCCCCAGCAGCCGCCCGAGCGTCTCCAACCTCCGCGGCCAGGCCAGCGTCTCCCCCGGTCTTGGCGTCGGCAACAACCGCTCGCAGTCGGCCCTCGGCATCAACCGCCAGCAGGCCGGCGCCGCGCAATCGACGTCGTCCTTCGACTTCCAGCGCGGCAACATGCAAGGACCCGACGACGGCATGATCATTGACGCCATCCAGGGCGTTCTGCGCGAGGTCGACCTCGACACGGTGACAAAGAAGCAGGTCCGCGCGCTCGTCGAGCAGAGGCTGCAGACGGGACTCGTCGGCGAGAGGAGGACGTTTATGGACAGACAGATTGACAACGAGCTGGCCAACATGTAGACTGTGTACGTGTATCGGCATCTTAACGGCAAATCGTACATAACACGGGCCAGCTTTCATCTCTGTCGTATCATGAGGGCATTTTAAAACAAAAACTGGGGGCGTTGCGAATCTAGGGGCATGTCTTGGATACAAATCTTGTTTACAATGTTTCTTTCTCTTTATTTGGGGGCATATCGTAGTTCTTTGGCACCACATTCGCGGATGGCTTCCACCGGATAATACATCTCCTAGTAGTTCAAATTAATCTTTATGAGACAATGGACCTTCATTATGAATCGTGTGGACTGGATTTTATTTTCACTCCTGTCTACTCATGTTCTCCGCTCTTGAATCTTGCCAACGCCGTTGAGCCGCAGGTAGACATCGGTGCCCCAGCCGTACAAGCTCTGCACAGCAATCCCACCGCCAAAGTACTCGGCGTACGCCCGACTCAGCGGCAGACCGTACCCGAGACCCGCAATCGAGCTCCCACCAGCGCTCGCGCTAGAAATCACATTTAGGCCACCATCATCGGACCCGGGAAACTCGTCGTCATCGGAAAAGGTAGTGAAGGAGTAGGACCAGATGTTGGGTAGCACCTCGGGGGAGATGCCGCCGCCGCGGTCGCGGATGCGAATCGTCACGCCGGGGACATTATCCTCGAGCGGCTTGATGGCGTCGCTCCTGAACTCGCCGCGCGTCTCCTTGGGCACTTCAATCTTGAGGTGCTGGTTTGGTCGGGGCGGCTCCGGGGCGATGGTGACGACGATGGGCTCCTTGTTATCCCTGGATTCCACGGTGGCTCGGAAGGCATTCTTGAGGAGCTCGGTGACGATGTATTCGAGGTGCATCGGTATAAACGCAAACGTGGTGTCGGGCTCGCCGTCGATGACGAGCTGCGGCCGTACGCCGTACCGCAGCTCGCAAATATCCGCCACGAAGCCGGCACAGGACTCAATGATGTGGGCCGGCTTGAGGGCCGTGTCGATGACGCCAATGTAGCTGGGCTGCTCCGGGCACGGGGTCGGGCTAGCCTGGGGGTCAAAGTGAGGCTGGGAGCTGTAGTGCAGGGCAATGTGCTGCTCGGCGACGAGGCGAGTGCCGATGCGGGCGCGGAGGTGCTCGTCGAGGAAGCGGGTAACTTCTTGCGGAGAGATGTAGCGGCGGCACTCGAGGAAGCCACGGGCGAGGATGGGGATTGTGTCGGTGTGGGTTGCCACGAGCTCGGCGAGGACCTCTGTGAAGCGTATCTCGTCGTCGAGGGTGCGGACAGCGCTATCGCCGCCCTTTGTCCACCAGGGGAGGAGGGTGGAGAGGGAGTGAACGTAGTTGTTATAGATGCGGCTGATGTTGGGGTTGGAGACGACAATATAGGGTAGGTTGCGGAGGGCCTGGATGCGGTGGGCGAGGCGGATCGGGAGGAGTGAGAGGGTGAAGTTGGCCGAGGATAGCAAGGACTTTTCGCTCAGAGGAGGGCGGCCGTGTCTTTCGATGTTAGTGCTTGGATTGACATTCGAGATTCAAAGAGTGTAAGTACTTGACCAGGTCGGTGAGGCTCAAGGGATGCTGCGTCTTGTTGGCGAGCTGGACAATCTCGTGGTCGTCGACGCGGGACAGGTGGTGAGAGGAGCCATGGCGGTGACTGTGACGGTGACCGTGCCGAGAGGAAGAGAGCAGACGAGTGTTTGAAGGAGTATGGAGTTGTGCGAGTATCCTCTGGGGCGTCTTGGGCCTCAATGGTCTCGCTATGGGTATCATGGCGGCATTGTCGATGTTGCAAAGAGGAGTGATACGGTCAAGGGGAAATCCGTTGGGGGAGGAGGTTTCTGGTGCAACAGGCAGTAGCAGCAGCAGCAGCAGCAGCGGAAAGAGCATGAGATCATACGCTTTGGGACCTTAGCGCGTGGTTTGTGCACTGTCCTTTTTGTGGGGTTCCCAGTGGCTACCGACGGCCCCTGGGTGAGGTGGTCCGGGCTCTCCATGAGCCCCGCGCCGGGGGTGGTGAGACACTTGGACCTCTGTCGGCGGGGGCCGATTCCAAGCGCTTGATGCTGTTACGGAAGGTACCTTGTTTGTATGGATGAGGACCTTTATGGCAAAAGAGAACATGTTTTCCTAGCTGCCCTGACGAGGCAAGTTGCTACGAGCCAAGCGTCACAAACAATAAAACTAGTAAAGGAAGTGAAGCGTAAACCATGAAGAATCTCGTGAGTCTAAGGTATGTAGTGGATCAAGTACAGCTTGCCAGCCCCTCGCTCGCGATACATCCCTCTATTGCGTCTTGACCTCCTGGTCCTTCTCGACGTGCTTGACGTGCTCGTGGCTCTCCAGAGTTGAGATCTGGTCCTCGGGGAACTCGACGCTGTAGTTGGTAAGTCATCTGTACTGCTGAGGGACATGGGGGAGAGCGTACGAGAAACCCTTGATCAGGCTGTACTCGTGGCCAATCTTTCCTCCCTGGTCGGTGGCGTGCTTCTTGGCACTGGTCTGCTGTTAGTTCTTAGATCTGTATCGTCGTGGAAGAGAAGACTTACGCCGCGACCTGGTCGGCGGAGGCATCCTCCTTGCAGGTGACCTGGGAGAGGTTAGCTTGCTGGACGGTGACGGTGGTATTCAGTGTAAAGGAGCTGTATTCACAATGTAGGTAGGCATTCTGATGGATGTGGTTGGGTTTGTATGGTGGGAGTTGTAGTCTGTGGTTGTGCAAGAGCGAGGTTGAAGTTGACAAGCTCCCAGGTTGGACATAGGCCGGCGGAGTCTCTTTATAACCAAGCCGGCAGGACTCATGCCTGCCCGGTTTGCTAAGGGATGTGCTACCTTCTAGACGGTACACACCAGTGACAGTGACGGGATGGGTGTGGGAACTCGAGGTGGGCTGCCTACTGCGTACAGCCGGCAACTAACAGTGACGCGGAAAAGGTTCGTGGGTGGCCCAGCGAGTGGAGGGAAAGGTCCATGCAACCACAGCAACTACCTATCTGCTGCCCTGGACCGCGTGGGTGTGGACGCCTGTGTGGTACGTAAAGCATTGGATGGCACCAGCATCTGCTTGCTTCCTACTGTTCAGGAATTGCTCCCCTTATGCACACGCAATACGTCATCCCACCTTTGCGCGCCTCTTGAGCCGAGATGGTCACCTCCATCTGCCTGCCAGACAACCAACAAGTTATCCCTCAGAGGCATCTATGGCGCATAGAGCGCATCCACAACACGACCGACGTGCACAGCCGAGATAAGACGCGAAAAGACTGACCAGATCTGGCGCCTCATGCATCTCGTTTCTTCACGCATCATCCTGCCGGTGCGCGCAGAGGATTGCGGAGCCTTGGATTGTCTTGTGACTTGGCCCAGAAACCAATCAATGCGTCCCCGGCCATCTCTCACCATCTCCCACCACCGGGTCGTCATCGCCATGCCGTCATTGCTGACCTAACCCTCTGCCTCCGTTGCTCTACCTTTTCGATGTACCTCTGTTCGTAACTCAAGGTACCGGTATGCATGAGTCCTTGCCAACTTCGTGTCGTATACCACCACCTCCTCATCCAACGTGGTCCATGACATTCCACAAAACACCTAGATACAATAAAACATTGAAGAACCGGAATCGTAAAGACATCATCGTGTAAAGACCATGCCGCAAACTGTGATCCCATATCGTGGGGTCGGCTCAACGACGATCTCCGAGGGAGGGGCACAGAGGGGTAACACGAGGAAGTGGGGGCGCATACTATCTTATCGATAGACAGATTAGATAAGTCAGACCCGCAACAAATTTTTGATCGATAGCAGTCGAGTCGCGAAGCGCTGCGACGAAAGAAAAAAAAACCCCAAGGCCCGTCTTTCGTCGTGTAGCTGCAGGACCTCCCAACATCTTTGGGCAACGCCGTCATGGAGGACCAAGTACACAAGCCTCACCGCAAGGCGAAGGACAAGAAGGGGAAGCAAAACACCGGGGGTGAGTCTTCTGTACTTATGACCACCCGCCAATTCGAATACTGACGAGCGCGCAGAGAAGAACCCAAAGGCCTTTGCCTTTTCTAACCCCGGAAAGCTTGCCAGGTCGGCCGCAAGATCTTCAGATGTGCGGCCCTTCCTCTTGCTCACATAGCATACCAGCAACTGACTTGTACCTTTACAGATCAAAGAACGACGCTTCCATGTCCCGCAAGTCGACCGCCTCCCCGACGAGCCGCCACCGAGGCTGGTCACCATCGTGGGACCCCCCGGTGTCGGCAAGACGACCCTCCTCAAGTCCCTGATCCGACGATACGCAAAGGAGACCGTGTCCGACCCCCAAGGCCCCATCACCGTCGTCACCTCCAAGAAGCAGCGGTTGACCTTTGTCGAGTGCCCCAATGAGCTCGAGGCCATGGTCGACATGGCCAAGATCGCCGACATTGTCCTTCTCATGATTGACGGCAACTACGGATTCGAGATGGAGACGATGGAGTTCCTCAACATCCTCGCCGCCACCGGTATGCCCGGCAACGTCTTTGGCATCCTCACGCATCTTGACCTGTTCCGGAAACCCCAGGCGCTGAGGGACGCCAAGAAGCGACTCAAGAAGAGGCTGTGGAGCGAGCTGTACGCCGGCGCTCACCTGTTCTACCTCTCTGGTGTCATGAATGGACGTTACCCCGACCGCGAAATCCACAACCTCTCCCGTTTCCTGTCCGTTATGAAGAACCCGCGCCCCCTAATCTGGAGAAACTCCCACCCGTACACCATCATCGACAGCTACCGAGACATCACGCATCCCACAAAGATTGAGGAGGACCCCATGTGCGACCGGTCGATCGTGTTGTCGGGATACCTGCGCGGCACCAACATGACGCAGCAGGGGCAAAGAGTTCACGTTCCGGGACTGGGCGACTTTACCGTGGCGAACCTCGAGGTCATGCCCGACCCGTGCCCGACACCCGCCATGGAACAGGCCCTCGCCAAGGTCACCGGCAAGACGACACGACGACGCCTGGATGAGAAGGAGAAGAAGCTCTACGCCCCCATGTCCGACCGCAGCGGTCTCAAGATTGACGGCGACGCCATCTGGATCACGAGGGAAAAGGGTTTCACGCTCGACAAGGACGCCGAGGACGGCGAGCGCGGCGAGGGCGAGGAGCTCATCGTGGGACTCCAGGGCGAGCGGAAGCTGCTGGGCCAGACCGAGGAGGGCGTGCAGCTCTTCCGGGGAGGCGAGCAGCTGAAGCAGGTGGCCGAGGAGGAGGACACGGGCAGAAAGACGCAGCGCCACGCACGCTTCGCAGACCGCGACGAGGAATCCGACGCCGAGATGGACGACGACGAGGGGTTCGTTAGCGGGGAAGACGAGGGCGAGTCCGACGTGGAAGAGGAGTTCAACGAGGGCAAGCTGGGCAAGATGTTCCGGAGAACCGCCGACAAGGACGCCCAAGAGGACGACATTGCCTTTGCCGACAGCGACTCGGACCTCGGCTCAATATCGGGACTCGAAGACGAAGATGAGGACTCGGAAGAGGACATGGACGACGAGGACTTTGACTCAGACGAGGAGGCGGCGGCCATGAAGTGGAAGGAGAACATGGCAGAGCGCGCAAAGAAGCTCCACGGCAAGCGACGCTCGTACCACACACCGGACCTGGCCAGGTTCATGTACGACGAGAAGCTGTCGCCCGACGAAGCGCTGCAAAAGTGGCGGGGCGAGGATCCGGAAGAAGAAGACATCGAAGCGGACGAGGACGACGACTTTTTCCAAAAGTCCAAGCAGGACAAGGAGGACAAGGTCGAGGACCGATCGATACCCGTGTACGACTACCAAGATCTGGCAGCGAAGTGGTCGCAGGCGGCGGCCGTCGAGGCTCTGCGGAAGCGCTTCACCACGGCGGGCATGCGTGACGACGACGGGGATGACGATGACGAGTTTGACGGCATCGACGATGATGAGGAGGACGAGGACGATGAAGGTGACGGTGTCTTTGAGGACCTCGAGACGGGCGAGCAGCACGGAGGGGACGCGGAGGAACCCACAGAGGAAGAAGCGTTCGACACGGAGCGCGAAAAGAACGCGAAGCGCAAGGAGGAGCTCAAGCTACGCTTCGAAGAGGAAGACCGCGAGGGTTTCATGAACGACAAAGCCAACGCCAGGCGGGAAGGCGCGGCAGGCGACCAGGAGTTCGGCGAGGACGACTGGTACGAGGCGCAAAAGGCCGTCATCCAGAAGCAGCTCGACATCAACAAGGCCGAGTTCGAGACGCTGGACGAGCGGCAGCGGGCGGCCGTCGAGGGCTACCGCGCCGGCAAGTACGCAAAGATTGTGCTCGAGGGCGTCCCGGCCGAGTTTGTCGAAAAGTTCAACCCGCGCAACCCCATCATCATCGGCGGCCTGTCCCCGACCGAGGACCGCTTCGGCTTCGTCCAGGTGCGCATTAAGAAGCACCGCTGGCACAAGAAGATTCTCAAGTCCAACGACCCCTTGATCTTCTCCCTTGGCTGGCGTCGCTTCCAGACCATGCCCATCTACAGCACCTCGGACTCGCGGACGAGGAACCGCATGCTCAAGTACACACCCGAGCACACGCACTGCTTCGCGACCGTCTACGGCCCGCTCATCGCGCCCAGCACGGGTTTCGTCTGCTTCAACTCCTTCTCGCCCGAGAACCCGGGCTTCCGCATCGCGGCGACCGGCACCGTCCTCAGCGTCGACGAGTCGACCGAGATTGTCAAGAAGCTCAAGCTCACGGGTACCGCCGACAAGATCCACAAGAACACGGCCTTCATCAAAGGCATGTTCAACACGGCGCTCGAAATCGCCAAGTTCGAGGGCGCCGCCATCAAGACCGTCTCGGGCGTCCGCGGTCAGATCAAGCGCGCCCTCTCCAAGCCCGAAGGCCACTTCCGCG